AGTCAGGATTCTTTCTGTCGCCTGGTCAGGGACCAAGGCCTGGTGGTGCAGAAGGTCCCACCTTGAGCAGTTCTGTGTCTGCCCCACCCTACTCAGGCACTTTGGGGGCCTTGTTGGGTGAGTCCTCAAGCCCCCTTTCTTTCTACATATGAGTAAATGAGGCCCAAGTGACCTTCAGGAGGAGGACCTTCACTCTGCTGAGGCCTGTGCTCCTCAGGAGTGCCCCTGCATGAGTGGAAAGGCAACGGAAGTCTCTCCTGCAGGTGGCGAGCGGGGGCACCTAGGTGCAGATCAGGTCCTGTGTCATCCTGGGTCACGGCATGACTGTTCAAAGGTAGAAACAGATACACCTCACGTGTCACGACTTCGTGTTGGTTCATGACACACCTCAGAGTATTAAAAAGTTGTGCTTAAACATCACCCCTGGCGTGATCCAGCATGATACCCATTTTGGAGGTCCGGCCATCCCCACCCCAGGTTGCAGGGCAGGGTTGCAGGGCAGTGTCGCTCACTGTGGGGTCCGCAGCCTCTATGGGACCTCGATGAGTGTTTGCAGTGCCCCTCATGCTTGCTGCGGTCTCAGGGCCCAGCTGATGGGCATGTGGCAGGGCTCTCTGGGAGCCTGGTGGGTGACCCAGAGGGGCTGCGTGCGGGGCAGCTCTGGATGGGGAGTGGGCCAAGATGAAGAATCCAAGGGAGATAATTCTGGGAAGACCAGGGGCTTGAGAGAGAAGAGGGGTGCAACAGAGGGACGGGGCTGGTGCCTAGGGCGCAAAGCCCTGAGGGCTTCCTTCCTTATGGCTTCTAGAGTTGGCTGCGGGCTCATTCCAGGCCCACACTGGGAGCCTGGCGTCTTATAGGAACCTGATCACACCATGTGCTAGGCCGCACCTCCCCAGGAGCCGCCCACGAAGACCTACGGGCCTGGCAGCCCTTTGCTTGTGTGGCTTAACCTGAGGCACTGGAGGCTTTCAGGACCCCTTGTGCCCCCATTGGTGCCCTGCCTTGGCGTCTACTCTCACACCAGCAGGGAGCAGTCGTGGGGCTTTTTGCCTGGGCCTAGTCCTCCCTTCACCTGCCGGCCCCTGGACATGGGCGTCTTTCCTCTGAAGCTATAGGCAGGGGTGTCAGACACGCTGTCTAGGCCGAGTCTGTCCCCTCCGCCCTATGGGGCTGGAGCGGGTCATTCTCTAGGGCAGCCACAGAGGGACAATGTCCAGGCGTTGCCCAGTGGCAAGGCAGTCAGGTCCAGTGAGCACCCACCTCAGGGTTTCCCACCAGCCTGCTGTGCACAGTCAGCTGCAGCTGAGGGGCTTGCAGGTACCCATTTCAGAGGCTCCCTGAGCCTGTCTCTGGGCCTCCACAGGCCCCCTTCCTTTGCCCCTGGGAGCAGAAAGTCTGTGGAAGCAGGTCAGGAGGGATACTGCTCCTGTGGACCAGACATGGTAGCTGGCTGAGGTTCCCCCACAGGGCAATGTCCCCTGCTCTTGCCTCGGGCCGCCCTCCTGCTGGCCCAAGGGTGACCCGCAGGGTCCCTCCTGGTTTATTTCTGGTCTCCAAGCTGTGGCTGGGCTTTTGGAGCTTCCTGTGTGGCCGCCTTGGGGAGAGTCTATGATGAGACCCTCAGCCCAGAAGCTCCAGCCTGGCTCGTCCCCGACTTGTGCCCCCAACCCAGGCATGCTGTAGGGCATTCCTGGTGTCTCTCACGCCCTGGCCTGGACTTCCCAGTCCACAATGGTCATGCTGGTGCCCTGGGGGCAGGTGGTCCCAAGTCTTTTGGAGGCACACGTATCTGTCAGGACCCACAGCCACTGCCCCTGATACAGACAGGATGAGAGCTATGTGGATGGTGGACAGTGTGCTGGTTAGAAAAGCAGAAAGAAACAGGTGACCTGTTTATCTCATTCAGTTTGGGGTATCTGAGATACGGTCAAACGTGTAGTTGGTGTGAGAGGTTACTGTTAAGATAGTTTACATCCTTCATATTTGGCTGTGTGTGGCTTATCACCATTTGGAAGCTAAATTTTCATTGGAAACACTCTATTTTAACAAATACAGAGCTTGAGTAGAAAAACATCAGGGCCCTGGGGACTGAGTCCTGCCGGGAGGCTGTCGGCACTGCTGTCAGGCGTGGCCAGATATTGCTGATAAAGCGTGGGGCACCAGGCGCAATTGTAGTTCCTGACAAACGGTTGAAAGTTGCCTGGTATAAACGTACCCCGGGTGGTGTGTGGGACACACTTGGAGTAAACGTTAACTCGTTGCTTATCTGAACTTCTGTTGTCTGCAGGGTGTCTGGGGTTTAATCTACGTCTGGCCACTCCGGGCTGCGTCCTTCTGCTGTCTGTCTGGGGCTCAGGGCTGCATTGTCGCTGGTGGGTTGGATTTGGAACCTATGCGATCAGGTGTGGTCCTTATAGGCAGCATCTGGGGGCAGGTAGGGCGTCTGGTGATAATGATGCAGCCTCTCGGCCAGGGGTTTTTGCCCAGCTCATGGCCAATCTGGGGGACCAAGTTTGGAGTGCTGCCAGCTCATGGGAAGAGATGGGCCAGAGGCCAGCAGGGTGGCTCGGGTGGGGAGAGCAGCCCGGGGTGGGTGCAGGTAAGCATGAGCCTGGTGGCTGCCCTGGCCAGTTTGAAGAGCACTGGGTGAGCAGTGGGTGAGTTCTGTGTCCCCTCGGCCTGGGCCAGCGCTGCTGGGGAAGACCAAGCTCTCCTTCTTCCCCTCCCTGCCTTCTCCCTGGCTTCTGCGTCTTCACTTCCTGTGGGTGCACACCTCCTGATTTCTGTCTGAAATGGTTACCGCATCTGTCACAGGAGTGGGAGGTGTGACTCTGGCAGCTGCCTGAGGGTCGGACTTTGACCCACACTGGACAGAGGAGCCCTGCTCTGGGCCACCCGCCCAGCCCCACGCCCTTCCTGACAGCTTTATTGTGATGCCACACACTACATTGGCTTTAATTAAGATATAACTCACAGACCATAAAGTTCACTGGAGAGGAGACCTCAGTGGTTTTAGTATATTCACAAGGTGTGCAGCTATCACCAAAGTCAATTCCAGAACATTCTGTCACCCCAAAAGAACCACAGCCCCCAAGAACCACTACCCCACTCTGTGTCTGTGGATCTGCCTGTTCTGGACATTTCCCATTAGTGGAATCGCACACTGTGTGTCCTTCTGTGTCTGCTGCTCTCACTGAGCATCGTGTTCTCAGGGTCTCTCCACGTGGTCATGAGTGTCAGGGCTTCACCCCTTTTCTTGGTTGAAGGACACTCCCGTGTGGAGGGACACGTGTGATCATTGGGTTGTGTGGGCCTCGTAGCCGTCATGAGTCTAGCGGCTGTGGATGCCTGTGGGCTGTGCACACAGGTCTGTGTGGACGTGTTCTCAGTTCTCCTGGGTGGACACTGAGTAGATTGAATGGTGACTCTTGTGAGGAATTGCTGTGTTTTCTATGGTGACTGCTTCGTCTTCTGTGCCGCCTGCCGTGGAGGAGGGTCCTGTTTGTCCCTCTCCAGGTTCTGTGTCCTGCCCTGGGTTAGGGTCTGACCCTTGGTCATAGTGTCTCTGCCTCCTCCGATCCTGGGAACCCTGGCCATTTTCTGGAAGACCATCTTCCTGCTGCCCTGCACTTTTCTGGAGTGCCAGCCCTTCAGAGGACATGGGCCAGGGCTGGCCTTGCCCCTTGATGTCTCAGACACCCAGGCCGGCCCGTGGTCTTCCATCCTGGCGCCCCTCTGAGCGGGTGTGTGGGGTGCCGGGAGGGACTGCAGCCCCACCGGGCCAGGTGCCTTGGCCGTGTTACCATCATCCCGTCCTGTCGTTGGTGTTTTTCAGGGGCAAAAGACACACACACATTGAGGAAAATGGGTGTTTCGGCCAAGCGTGGGAAAGTTTTGAGAACTCACTCAGAATCTAGGTGGTAGGCATTGTTCACATGTCAGTGATGTCCTTCCAAACCCCCACACACCATGGGTGTGTTACAGGCAGGTCTGGCTGCTTGCTGTGCCCCGCTCCCCCCTGGGAGCGGCCGTGGGTCTCCTCCTCCTTGGGGCGAGAGACCATTGCAGCTGCGCCCACAGGAGTGAAGCCATCCTCCCGGCGGCGGCGTGCGCTCCTGTGCTTTGGCCTGGCCCTCCCGCTGCTGCGCCAGGTCTGGGGAGGCTCCAGTTCGGACATGGGATCCTGTGTGGCGGGCGGGTGCTGGTCCTCCCCCCACCACCAGTCCTGAGCAGAGGGACTGGGTCCTTGTCTAGGATGTGCTGACCTCTGAGGACCCGTCCAGACTAAAGGAGACATCTCCCCCAGCAGGAGAGCTGGGCGGGTGAGTGATGCTCGGCCAGCTCCAGTAAGACGGGGAGACAGGGCATGTGGTTTTCTGGCGGGTCTGCAGGTGCTCCGGCCCTTTAATATCTTTAATGTCTGCCCGCACAGCCCCCTGCCCTGGGCTGAGGCTACACACTCTGGAGGGTGGTCCAGCCCAGCTCTCCTATCCCCCTCCCCACCGTTCTGAGCTCAGGAGAGTTTGCACCTGCTAGCAGAGGCCAGCCAGGATTCCAGTGGGCATGGGGCAGGCACCGGGCACCATGGAGGCTGCCCTCAGGTCATCAGGTGTCTCCCCCTCGTCTGGCCCCAGAGCCCATGTCTCCATCATTCTCAGGGCTCGTGTCCCCACCCGGTGCTCAGCTGGGGCTCCGTCTTTCTCTCTGACTGACTAAGGCGTCGCCTGTCCTCCCTGCTTTGCTCTGGGGGTCGTGGACCCTGACACCAAGGAGCAGCCGTGCTCCTGGCTGGTGCCTCTGTGTCCCTGGGACGGGTGCTTGCTGGACTGGCGGCACGGTGGGCTCTGTGGTGGAGGCCGAGGGGCTGGGCGGGTGCTGGGCTGCGGGTGCAAAGGCCCTGGGCAGGAGTGTGCCCACCTGACACCATGTAGAGGGAGGGGGGGGGGTCTGGGGGGCGCTCCCAGAGGTGGTGGAGGTTGTTTTTTAAATAGACTCTGTTTCAGAGCAGTGTTAGGTTTATGGCGAGTCTGTGGATCAGTTTGGGGTCCCTGTGGGTCACACCTCAGTTCACTGTCATCCATGTCGCAGCTGATGGACCGGTGCCGGTGTGTCATCCTCAGCCAGGGTCCGCGCTTCCCCCGTCCTCTCTGCCCCAGGCACCCCAGGCTCTTCCAGTTGTCGGCTCTCCTGTGGGGGGTACAGCTGTCTCCGTACGTGTGTCTGTCTGCTCACTTGTGGCCCGTGTGGCCGCCTAGCCCCGGCTCTGTGCCTTCTCGTCCCTTCTCAGCAGGCGTTCCGCGGGTTGAGCACCTTTTGTGTCCCTCCCCATCCCTCTTCTCCCCATCTCTCTCTCAGCCGTGGGGGTTTTCAAGTGTGCCCAGGGAGCCAGCTGGTGGTCACTCCAGCAAGCGCATGGCCTGCTGACTGCTGGGCTGGGGCCGTGGGGTTTGTCATGCACATGTTTAAGTCCTTGGAAAGGCTGCAGGGAAAGTGCTCTGCATCCCACATCCTTCTGGGCTTGTCTGTAACTTGGATGAACCTGCGCATCTGCCCACACCTGCTCTTCATGACCCTGAGCGTGAGCTCTGACCATCTTCCTTGCCCTTCTCAATGAACCCTGCATGTCCTCGCACAGAGCCTTTCCCTCAGGGTTGCTGCAGCCCCTGCCTGGGTGCCCCCTCCTTTCCCATTTATCCAGGGTTGTGTTCCATTGTCTGTAAGTCCCTGGTCGTGAACCATTTCTGCTTGATTTCGTTTGGATGCTGACCTCGTCCTGGGGTCTGGTCCCCGTTCTCGGCCCACTCCCTTTCTCTGTGCTGTGACACTACCTGTCAGTGACCTCAGGCTTCCAGGTTGTGGCTGGCGCATCTCCAGAGCCCGGGCCCCTTTCGGGGAGTGGTGCGTGGATGGCACCACCTGGAACTTGGGATACTCGTAGCTGCTGGGGCCCAGGACCTGGGTGACTCCTGAGGAGGGGGACGTGTGTGTCCAGAGGTGCTTGAGGGGGCTGTGGCCAGGATCACCCTGGAGCCCTGCGCTTCTCAGGTGGCTGCCACGGCAGAGCCTGCAGGTGTGGTGGGGCCACCTCCAGGAGGGAATCTGCTGCCACTCCTCCAGATGTACCCTGCCTCTGGCCCAGGGCTGTGTCCATGACGTCAGCAGGGACTGTGACATCACTGGGTGGAGACGGTCAGAGAAGGGGGTTCCTGGGGCCTCTGCCAGGGGGCCTGGCCCTGGCCCTGACAAGATGGAGGACCCCCAGGAGAACGCAGCAGGTAAGCCCCCTGAGCTGGAAGGCAGGCTGTGGGTCACTAGAGGTGTGGGCTGGGAGGGTTGGGGGTAGGCTGGGAGCCCTGCCTGCTTGGGGTTTAAGTTCCCCCACGAGGACCTGAGCAGAGTCCACATGCCTGGGGGCCTTCCCTGAGTGAGGAGTGAGTCCAGGTGCCCTTGGGAGGAATTGGGGGCACGCTGGTGGGGTGAGACTGGCTTGCTTTAGGGCCGGGTGTTGAGAATTAGTGCCTGTGCTGACATCACACACACCTGCTTCCCGGTTCACCAGGTGTGCCGGGGGCACCTGTTGGCTTCCGGGCTCCTGGCCGCGTTTGACTCTGCTTTTAGTCCTGTGTCCACTCTGCTGTTCCTGCACCCCGCAGGCCAGCCAGTGACTCGCTCTGGCCATCCCCCCCGAGGTCCCAGGAGAGGACCCAGGAAGACCCCTGTGGGGTGGTAGGTGGTAGCTCCTGTTCATGGATTGAGTAGGTGCTGGCGTCCTGTCTCTGGGAGGGTCAGGGTCTGGCCTCCTCACCTGTCTCCTTGGTGTCCACTGTCCCCTGCAGGCGGTGACCCTGTGGTGGCCACACACCTGCCCTGTTGTCCAGGGGCTGACAGATGGGGCGGGCCTCTGGTGTCTCGTCAGGGCCACGTGGGCTGGCGGGCTGGGCTGGGGCAGCACACCCGCCACAGCTTCTAGTTTGAGGCCTGGTCGCTGTCCGTGTGCTGCACACCAGGACCCCCATGACTCTGGGCATGGGGGCCGACACGGTGCTCCTGGTGCAGAGTCTCACAGTAGGCAATGGGCGTTACCGGGGTCCCCGAAGGCAGCCCTGGAGGAGGGTCTGTGGGGGGCAGTGTCCCTACCCTGAGCCTCGCGTCCTGTACCCTGTGGCCTCCCAGCCAGCCCGAGGGCACAGTTCTCCTGGCTTTGCTGCTTTCAGAAGGCAGCTCTGCGAGCTCAGAAAGGTTTGCAGCTGGAGGCCAGACAGAGGTGAAGAGGCCGCTGTGGATCTCGGGGTGGGGCTGAGAGCATGACCCGCCTTGACCAGGGGTCACGGCTCAGAATGGAGTCTGTCAGGGCAGGAAACCGGGTGTTGCGGGTGCCCTGTGCTGCTGACCGGGGAGGGCCTCCCAGGAGAGTTGGGGGTTGGAGTACAGGGAAGTAGGGTCTGGAGGGTTCCTTGTATGTGTTGTCCGGGCAGAGTGATGTTTGGTGATGCTGCCCCATAAAAACAGTTTGCACAAAGTGGGACGCAGACCTTAGTCCCTGCCTGTGAGGGATGAGTAGGTCACAGCAGCGGCATGGGGGACTGCAAGGCCCCTGCCCACCATTCCTCCATCGACGCGGACGCACCCACATCTTGTTGGCCAGGAAGTCTAGCCCCAATCTCCAACCCTCCCCTCCCCTCCTTTGTTCCCAAGTGGTCTTCCTAGTTGGGCCGCTGTCCCTCCAGACCTCCATGCGTGTCTCCTCCATCCCCTGGGTGGGGGCCCTACAGTGTCCTGCCACGGCCATACACTCCCTGACTCTTTCTCTGCTGCTTGTGGGCGGGAGCGCCTGGTGGGAGTGCCCGCAGTGTCCTCAGGCAAGAAGACAGAAGAATGCAGACATCTCCTTGCTGTCTTTGACCTTCCCGTGGGTTCTACGACCACCTCTGTGCACCTTTGTGGGTGGGGGTGCGCGTGCAGACCTGTGTTTTAGTTAATTTCCTAGAGGAAAGAAAATCTGGCAGGAAACCACTTCTGATTGTCCATCCGGGGTAAGGGGCTTTTGGTGTCCGCTTGTTGTGGAATCTGGCAGGATTTCAGAGAAAGGAGGGTCACCTGTGCAGGTGTGTTGCCTGGGAGCAGGAGGTACCCAGATGTTTGCAGGGCAAACAAACATTCTCTGCAGGAATCCCACACTGGCGTGTTACCGAGTCATGGGCACAAGCTCCCATGCAGTCAGGTGTCCGGCTGCTCCGAGCCTGGCTGCACCCTGGCCTCCGGGCTCACCTCCTCTCAAGGTGGGAAGGCCCTTGTCCTGCCTCCCTGTGAAGACCCTCAGCCCATCAGCCCGTCTCCTGCGGGTGCTGTTCCCACAGGCAATGAGTGGTTCACAGGAGTGTGTCTGGTGCTGGGTAGGGGGAGGGAGTGCTGGGGAAGGCATGTGTCTGGAGGTGGAGCGGGACCTTTGGGGAAATGCAGATCAGAATCACCCCGAGGCAGCAGAGGGCTCCGGTGGGAGCGGGACAGTTGACGGGAGGCAGCCTCCAGTTCCTCCAGCAATTAAGCTAGAGCCTCCACCTGACCCTGCCATTCTAGCCGTAGGTAGTGCCCGGGAGGGGGACAGCACGTGGCCTCCTGGAAACTTGTGCAAAAGCACTGTAGCCACTCTGTTCACTGTGGCCCAAGAGTGGACACAGCTGGGTGTCCTTCTATGGGTGAGTGTGTCCCTCCACACCCAGGAGCATCCCTCAGCCATGGAAAGGAGAGAAGCCCTGACACTCGATACCACGTGGACAGGCCCTGAGGACACGACGCTCAGGAGAGAAGCAGACACAGGACACACAGGGCGTGAGTCCACTGGTGGGAAGCGTCCAGAACAGGCCGATCCATGGACACAGAGAGTGGGTTCCTGGTGGTCAGGGGCTGAGGCGGGTGACTGCTGATGGGAACAGGCTTCCTCTTGGGGGATGGAACATTCTGGAGCCAGAGGTGATTGTAGCACAACTCTGCAAGCATAAAGCAAGGTCTAGTAAGAGCCGTTGATCTGTCCTCTCTGGAAGGGGTTGTAAGCCCCGTGGTCGTCGTCTCCAGATGTGAACAAAGATGTCCCAGGAGCTCAGAACCAAGCATGCAGTCTCCACCCCAGTAGGCTTGCTGGCTGTTTTGTGTGCTTTTAAGTTTTATTGGAGTAGAGTTGATCGATAGTGTGTTAGTAAAGGTATATAGTAAAGTGAACCGGTTGCAGGTTTACACGTATCTACTCTTTAGATTCTTTTCCCACATAGGTCATTGCAGAGTGCTGAGTAGAGTTCTCTGTGCTCTACTGTAGGTCCCTATTAGTTGTTTGCTCTCTACTACATATTAATGTTTTTAATGTAGTTATTTACTTGTAAATTTGTAGCAGCTGTTCACAGTTAACTCCCAAATCCTTGAGGTTGAACAGCCTCCCCCCACAGGGAACTGTGGGCAGTTGGGGCTCAGCATGGCCCCTTGAGGTGGAGGCTGGCCCGTGGAGTGGGGCGGTGGGCAGCCTGCTCTGCTCTGAGCCCCCGGCTCCTTGGTCAGGCTCCTCCCTCCCTCCCTCCGGTCACTCCTGCTGTCTAGTGCCCCCTTGGCATCGCAGTGGTTCCGGCCAGTCTCCCATAAGCGCAACCAATGGAGATGGAGGTGTAGGCGGAGCAGCAGCTGCTTGGCCAGGCCAGCGCCCCTGAGCCCGGTGAGGGGGGGTCTCGTCCACAGGTGCCAGGGCGCTGGTCTCAGAAGGGGCACACACTGCTGGTGTAAAAGCCGCATTCACACGGCCCCAGGCTGGGCCCTTGCTTGGGGGTGGACGTGGCCGCCAGGAACCCCAGCAGCGGTGGAGCTGGGTGCGCGGGTCTTGGCTGGGGTCGGATTGTGCACGCTCTTCATGTGGTTGGGAAGCGTGGGAGCCGCCGGCTGTAAGCAGTGAGGTTTGGCCTGAAGCCCGGGCTCCTGCCTGTCTGGGACTCTCCTGGGCTGTGCCCAAGCGAGGACTGGCATGTACGCTTGTGTGTGAGCACCCCGGCCTCAGTCTTACCAGCTTGTGGTCCTGCCTCTGGGCATGTACCCAGGGGGTCCCCTCTTTGGGGCCTGTTCTTGGCACCTGTGCCGTCAGTGACACACGGGGGCTGCCTGGCCCTTCTGTCCATCAGCACGGGAGGCTGTGTGGGCACCCATTCAGGGGCTAGGGCACCAGGCTCTACAGAGCTGATCCTGCTGAAACCTTAGGGCCCTGGTGTTGGTACGTCCTACCCTCCGGGAAGGAGCCGCCTCTGGCCTCCCCTCACCCTGGCTGTTAAGTGGGCGTGGCCTTCACCAGGTGTCAGCCCTTGAGTGCCTGGTAGGGAGGGGCAGAGGTGTGAGCCTCACAGTGGCCAGTTGGGGCTAGGGAGGTGTTAGAGGAGGACGCTAGTGTTTTCTCTCTAGAGAGATTCCTGTGACTTTGGTGTGAGAGAACGGGAGGCGGTGAGGGCCTGTTGGAGGGTGCAGTAACTGTGGTTGAGAGAACGGGATGGCTGGCAGGGGACACCCTCCTCTGTCTTGCACACAGGGTGACTGGTCTGCACTGGGGAGTAGGGAGGGCTGGGGGGAGGGAGGAACCCACACCACAGACACAGCCTGGGTTGCTTCAGGGCACCTGCCCCATGTGTCCACACCCCCTAGTTTGGGCTGCTTCTCCTGCAACCTGGGGGACTTTTGGGGTGCCTGCCATCCGGTCCACAACCCCAGCTTTGTACTGGCAAGGCCAGGCCGGACTCACCCCAGCGACATGTGCACAGCCAGCCCTGTCAAGGCAGGGGGCCGCTGGGCCAGATGAAGCCAGGCTGGTGTTGGCTTCCGTAGCCCCTCCTTGCCTGCTTTCTGTCCTGCAGCAGCAGGTCACCCACCTAACCACAGGGTCACGAGCTCCTGGAATGAGGCCCAGGGACCTCTATGTCCCCTGGACATTGGGTGGGGGAGGGAGGGGCATCTCTGGAGTCCCCATGTCAGTGGTGGGGCCTATCTCCGAGGCCCCTGCATGTACTGCTCTGCGTCTGTCCTCTTCTGAGGGCTCAGTGCCGCGTGGCAGGGGCGGGGGTGGCGCCTCGGTCACTCGATTGGGCATCTCCCCTGCCGGCAGAGCCATCCTGCAGCCCTTTGCGGGGGGAGGAGGGTGGGCAGCAGGGAACGCTTGGGGTTCTCAAGAGGCCTGAACC